TCGCGTGGAACGTTGCACATTTATTAGTACGGAAAATAAAAATGATACAATACCGACACCTAAGGAAGGTGTTGTTGGTGAACTTGGAAATTGGATTTCACCTGACGAGATGGACAAAGCTATTCTCGAAAGATTTCCAGGTTGCATGAAAAGTTAGTTGAATTTATTTTAAATATCCCACATATGATATACTCGCACAAATCAATCTACAGAAATGATTTGATCTTTTTCTCTGTGGTTTTACTGATATACAATATTGTTTCGGGAATTTTATGAATATTCGGCAAAAAAAATATATATTGTCATTGTAAACAGATGGAATTATTGAATTACAAGAAAAATAATTCCATTTTAATTATTTAGATCGAACGATGTATGTGATACCTTTTAATATGGGACCAATAGGAGCTCCACTTTCAAAAATAGGTATAGAAATAACGGATTCTCCTTACGTTGTTTGCTCGATGAAGATCATGACGAGAATGGGTACAAAGATATTGGAAATACTTGGCAATAATGATTTCGTTAAATGTTTACATTCGGTTGGTACTCCTAAAACGGATTCTAAGGTAACCGTGTATCCTTCTTGGCCGTGTGATCCAGAAAGAACAATTATTCTTCATAAGCCTGCAAAAAACGAAATAATATCGTATGGTAGTGGTTATGGGGGTAACTCTTTGCTTGGTAAAAAATGTCTCGCGTTAAGAATTGGATCAACGATTGCTAGAGACGGTGGATGGCTTGCAGAACACATGCTGGTAAATCAATAATAATCATTTGATTGAATTATTTCTTTTCTTAAAGTTTGAGAATTGGGAATATTTATTTTTTATTTATTATTGTTTTGTTTTTTTGTTTGTTCAGATATTAGGAATCACTAATCCGAATGGTAAAAAACGTTACATAGCCGCTGCGTTTCCAAGTGCCTGCGGTAAGACCAACTTGGCAATGATGAAACCAACACTTCCGGGTTATAAAATTGAATGTGTGGGTGATGACATCGCTTGGATGAAATTTGATAACGAAGGTAGGCTTCGTGCTATCAATCCAGAGTATGGATTCTTTGGGGTAGCTCCAGGAACAAGCATGGGGACCAATCCCAATGCCATGAGGACGATCTTTAAGAATACTCTTTTTACAAATGTTGCTTCTACGAGCGACGGTGGTGTATTTTGGGAAGGAATGGAAAAAGAAATTGACGGTAACGTTGAGGTAAGAAAGAAAATATGAAAATATAAATAATATGAAGATAAAGGAAATGTTAAATTGAAACGTTGCTTACAGATTACCGATTGGCGACTTAACAAATGGAACAGCAATTCAAAAACTCCAGCTGCTCATCCTAATTCAAGATTCTGTACACCTGCTCAACAATGTCCGATAATTGATCCAGCTTGGGAAGATCCAAATGGGGTACCAATCGATGCGATACTTTTTGGTAGTCGTAGACCAGAGGGTGTCCCATTAATATACCAATCTCGAAACTGGCAACATGGTGTTTTCATTGGGGCCTCGATGAGATCCGAAGCAACAGCTGCTGCAGAATATAAGGTTCATTTAAAATATATCGTACATTACAATCGTTTGATTGAGTTATTTCATTCTATACCAATAGTTCAAATAACATGACTTCGTGATTTCTTCGTCAGGGTAAAATAATCATGCACGATCCATTCGCAATGAGACCATTTTTCGGTTACAATTTCGGACATTATATCAATCACTGGTTGAACATGGCTAATGTGAAAAATGCCAAATTACCTATTATCTTTCACGTTAACTGGTTTAGAAAAAATATTCAAGGACAATATCTCTGGCCAGGATACGGTGATAATTCTCGTGTTTTGGATTGGATACTTCGTAGAATAGAGAATGAAAATATAGCCAGAGATTCTCCGATTGGTTTCATACCGAAAATCGACTCCCTTAATCTGAAAAATCTGAAGGAAGATATCGATCTAGAGGAATTATTTAGAATACCCAAATCCTTCTGGCAAAAAGAGGTGAAAGATTTGAGAAAGTACTTCGATGAACAAGTTGGTAATGATCTTCCACAAGCTATTTTATCTGAACTTGATAATCTTGAAAAAAATATTAATAATATTTAAGTTTAATTTTATGATCTTTACTTGATTGAAAGTTTGAAAAATTCAATAACGAGATATTTCTTCTTCCTGATCGACGAAAGAAATCTATTTAAGAAAGATCTACTTAAGATATTAAATGTAGGTGTATAACATTTTCTGACAATGAGATATATAAATTTATAAATGAATAAATTTTTCTATTTGATTAGTATTAAATAATATTATTGTGAGAGACATATATACTCTTTTGGAATTAATTGTTTATACATGGTGAATCAAAAATAGATGAACAATAAATGATAAGATAAGATTTATTTTATTTTTATTTTATGGTATTTTCTTTCTGATAAAATTTTCGGTACTTTTGCATTATATTACACTGTGTGTGTAAAATAAAATTTAATTGGATTAGTTAATATAATCGTATATGTAATCTCAAAATAAATTTTATCATTTACTTATCATTTACTTTTAGTTTACCTTGTATATTAATATTTTAACATTTTTTTTTAATTAAACTTACACATTCATTGGTTCACATTATATAATCACAAATGATCATATAAATGGTTATTAAATAATTATTTTTAGTTTTATTTATACGAAAGGCACGGTTTTTATTGTAAACTTTATATACATCATATTGTTATCTATTTATTCGAAATTTATACGAAACTTTCTTTTTATCTTGTTCTTTTTTTAAATCTAATTGATCTGAAAATTTCGTTAATCAGATAAGAGCATTGCGCGTAAGGTAACGCGTTGAACGCGGATGAATGTTTGTGTTAAATGCACATTTTTAGTGGTATATTTAAAATATTTTATCTATATATTTATTCCGCTAATTATGTGATTTCGTATTTTATAGTTTATAATTTATATAATGATCAAATTAAATAATAAAAAAGAAATTAAATATATATTGTAACAATAATTCTATTGTATATGGGAACGGAATATTCTTTTTTGTATTTTTTATAATGAAACACATTAATTCTATCTAATATTTATTTTATTATATTTTATTATTCAATTAATTTTAAAATTGCTTCTTCAACGTATGTTTTTTTTTGTTTTACTTTTCTCACTATTTATTATTATTATTGAAAGACTTTCTACATATTTATATATTCGCAACATTCATATTTATATAAATTAAAATTATATTACAAGATATATTAACTATTTAAATGTATATTATATATTGTTCGAGGCAATTTATTAATTTTTTTCCTTTGTTTTCTTTTTTTGAATCATATCGAACACACTCGGAGACGAACGTTTTAAAAAGACAACCTACATATATCTATAGATACAGATTTTTTTAATTGAATTAATACATCACTCCAAATATATTTATTATTCATTACAAAAGTCTAATCATAAAATTCATTTTGGATATATTTTGGTTGTCATATATATAGTATATGTTCGAACGTCATGGAAAAATTTAAATAAAAAGAAAGAAAATAGAAAAAGAAAGAAAACACCAAGTCAATTATTTATGACCAAATATAACGCAAATTCGCATGTATTAGAATTTACATATATATATATATACATAATAGCAAATAATAAAATTGATATCAAATTGCGTAAGTAGTATTGAATTATTAAAACAATATTATTAAATTATTCTAATGAAATAATGTTTCAAATTGAATAACAGATCTTTTTCGTATTATTTAAGTTAGGATTATAATTTGTTCATTGATTATAGATAAAGTATTACAAAATACGAAGATTAACAAATAATTTAAATATACCAAGATTTCTTTTACATAGTTTTTTGTTCAGATTCATTAAAAGACAAAGATGAATTCTTAACTATATAAAAAAACAATATTTAATCTAGAATAATATGTGTAGTATAATATGCATATTATAGATCATTCGATACTATTAATGTATTTAAGTTGAAAAAAGAAAACATGTATATATAATATACATTTAGTTTTGTTGCATTGAATAATATGCATACATTTATACAATCGTTGCACATATCATAATGACTAGAGAGTGATATATAAAGATTTGTGAGTTTCAGAAATCAGCCTTCAATTATTAATACTTTATGTTATTATTCGTTTATATATTAAACTAAGATATAGTTATATTATTTCCCTCTTTGACTTATTACCCCTGTGCGTTTTATATATTTAATTAAAGGAATTATTTTTTCTTTTTTTTTATCTTTGTCTTTTTTTTTCTTTATACTGTTCTGAATTTTAATATTTAAAAAATTGTGTATAGTACACGTAAATTATTATGATATTTTTTCCATTATAAATCCACGATTATAATGTATAATAACATGTTAGATGTATGTATTATTTTACTAATAAGGAATCCCTTAATTAAAGTTAAGATTGTTTATATCAAATGAACTCCTTAAAATGTTAAAATTAATTTTTTTTTAAATCTAACAAGCAAATATATATATATATATAAATAAAAAACTTGATGTGTTTTTATTCAATTTTAATAAAATTAAAAAGTTATGAATTAATATACCAATTTCATTTATACTATATGATATACATTTTTTTAAATTAGTAATAATAAAATATTATTTTTTAATTATTTACTAACTTCTAAATTATTCGTAATAAAACCATGATATTATAGCATCTAAATAAAACCATAAAATTAATAAAAGTTCATTCTGACAGATCTAAAATGATTAGAAATGTTTTTTTAAATTTTTACTTCTAAAATATACAATATCTAAGTATACTAATTTATTTAACAAAATTTAATTCAGACTATTACGATGAACATTGTTTGTTCAAAACTACAAATTTATCATAAGAATAACATTTCCAAATGTTTCCTATTTAAAAAGATATAATCGTACATCTTTTTCTTTTTTTTATTCGTAGTAGAATCGATTAAAATTCATAAATTATTTCATTTCAAGTCTTATTAATGTGCGTATTTAATGCATTTTCATAAGACTGTGCAAAATTTAATTTAATTATTCTAAGTTTGAAGTAATTTATAGTTTTATATATATATATATCTATCTATCTATATCTCTGAAGATAATATAAAAAGCGAAAAAAAATGATAATTAGGAAATGTAAAACGTTACCATTTGATTCTAACATGTGATTAATATGGCACTGACAGATTCAAATATTATTGTGCAATACTTAAATTATGACGTTATACATATGCATTTCTAATTTTTTCTTTTTTATATTTCTTTTCTACATTTCTTTTCTTTCTTTTATATATATATATATATACGTGAAAAATGTACATTTTTAATATATTTAATTGAAATCTCAGGTACATACGTATTATTTATTATCTTTTTTCACTAGTGCTCTTAATGCTTGTGGAATACATAAAGGGCATAGAATATCTGGGTTTAACGTCTGAGATAACATTTTTCCTAAATATTGTGCTGTACATGGAAGAAGTAATGATTCTGACGTTAGTAATCCAGTTTCCATTGCTGGAATAATGTTTGTTTGGTATAAAGAAAGTGGATAATGGTGCCCACAAGTAAATACCATTGAATCTTCCTCCACTGCAAGGAAACTACACACTGCATCTGAATCCTGATTATAATCTTGTATTAGCAAAGTTCATCCAAAATTATAAGTAATATAAGAAAGATATATAGAATGTATCTAGTAATTGTGCCGGATTCAGATGAAAAAAAAAATTGTAGAGGAAAAGGTTGCATCGTTTAACAATCTCTATCATCAAGTAGTGCGATTTTTTACAGGAATTCATCGGTGAAATTATACAACTGTAGTTTTGTTACTAGATACACAATACACACCATCATTTACAATATAACAAAAGTTATCTTACTTTAATGTGCACAAATGGCCTAGGTGTATCATTTTCTGTAGACACTGTGCTAATAATTCCATCTATCATCTCCGCCGAAGTATTATTTCTACTTGAACCAGGATATCCAGTAAGTGGTACTCCATAGTGATCAGCCATTAAAGATGACAAAAGTTTAATATATTCAGGAGTAGGTTGGCCTAAAATATATGTGTTACTTTATTGTGCATAATTATATCTGCAACAATATAGCTTTCAATAGATCACTTATTGTTTTGTAGAATTTATATATAAAATGTAATAATTTTCTTACGATTTATTTATTATAATATTCACAAAATTGATATATTATAAGTAAAACAGATTATCAACTTACCTTCATTTATATGTTGTAATAACATAGAACAAATTTGTAGACAAAATTTAGATGAAAACAGATCTGTCATGTTCATACTCGTAGACTTTTCATCGTTTTTATTCTCATCGGAATACATTTCCATTGTTTCCTGACTGTGAACAAAAAAATGTTAAAAATTTAAAAATCTATGAAATGACAAATAGAAAAGATACATAACACATTACAATTGTATTGGATATACACTTACCAAAATAGCAATAATCCTAGGGGATAAAAAATTGTATGTATATTTTCAAAAAAAATATTTTCCAAACTTTGAAATGATAAATCATGTTGTATCCAAAATTCAAGCGTATTTTGCAATATGTTGCATTTAACAACATCCGCTTCGTTTTCAACTTCGTGTAGGTAAAATTTAAGTACTTTTATAGCTTCATTTACAAGATTATTTTTTTGGAAATGTCTACTTTCTTTAACATTTATAGATTTTTTATAATTTTTGTCTATCTTATCTTCGTTCATTGTCACTTTATTGTCATTATTTATTATTACACCTATCGGTTTCGAAGATATATCTACATTATCAGCTTTCCCATATTCTATTGATAAATTATTTTCAAAAATAGCATGCTCTATCCATTTTTCATGATCAGGTGTAACAGTATCAGAATCGAAGACATGTTCCGTAATGTCAAGAGGTATATCTTCACATTTTGGTTCTTTGCATAATTCTTCTGAGCCTCCTTGACAATCAAAAGCGTACATACCTTCTTCAAGAGTTTGTAAACTATTCAAAGATTTACTCGATGGTATTTTCATTTTATTTTTCGCTGCATAATCTTCTACAGATTCGATCAAATTTTTCTCAACTTGTTTGTTAAAAAGTTCAGTATTTCTTTTCAAATTACAATTAATAGAGTGCAATTTTTCCGTTAAAGAAGAAATATCAGATGCATTTTGTTTATCCAACATTATTGCTTCATCAGAATTTTCTACCGTTACAGATTTCAATTGGAAATTCATTGCGCTCAATGCCTTCAATTGGTATGAAAAAGCATCAGAAAAGTTATGTTGTAAAGCAGCCACGTTTGAGCATGCTTGATAATTTTCTAATTCAATACACTGAAAAACAATGCATATATGTAAAAATATAAGAAAAGACAAATATTAATAAAAGATTAAATTTAATATTTATGACTCGTAACTGTATATATGAAATAAAGTAAAATAAATAACCGATATATATTAACCTTTTCCATAATTTTTGTCGAGTCGTATAATCCATTAAAATGTTCAAGTACATAATGAAGCGTCAATTCTGCTGGTGATTTTTCAATAACGCTCAAAGGAGAAATAAAACCAGCAAGCGAAGGAATATCATAACTCTGATAAGAAATAATAGGTGCGGGAATATTAGGGACATCTAAAATTATATTAGAAGATTTAAGTACTACGAGCTTTTCATCGGTATCTCGTGTATCTTTGATAGATATTCGGCCTAATTGAGCTCTATTGTTATTACCCCATGCCAAAATGGTACCACCTAGATAAAGAAAATTTAATAAGGATATAATATAATCGAATAAATCTTTTATCAAAATTACTTGAGATTGAAGCAACATCTTTACCTGGTTGCATAGCAACGGTATAGTCATATCCACAATAAACTCCAATAGATTTAATCGTAGAATTAACTTTTTCCTTATTGTCAGAATTGTCCATGTGAGTTGTTTTTCCTTCTTTTGGATTAGTTATATTTCCATTTTTATCATCTGCTATTGAATCTACTTGAGCAAAAAGTGCTGCGTGATTGTAACTCAAAGGTGTGGGAATAGAAACTTCATATTTTGTGCCATTGCCTATTTGTCCATCTATATTACAACCCCAAGTATATAGTGAACCATCTTTTGTTAAGAGAGCATTATGATGGCACCCAGTTGTTATCTGTAAAACATCCAAAATATTATATTATACTTTTATTTAATATAATATTATACAAATATATAAGAAAATCTAAAAGCCGATTTACAAACCTGTACAATACGTCCTTTGACTAAACTCGTATCTATTACAGAAGGTTTTAAATGTGCCTGAGATTCTTCAAGTAAGCCAACATTAATATTCCTTATGCTTGTACCGTCAAATTGCTTTCTTCGTAATAATAGACTAGATGAAATCTTTGTTGATAAAACCTGTTTATTACTTTCTTTAGTAGTTTCCTGTATATTTTTATTCGTTGCAGTATCATTTCCTTCTTTTTCAATATTTTTCTCTTGATTATTACTTTGTTTCTCATTAGCTTCTTGCTGTTCCAATATGCGAGTCTTTTTTAATGCTTGTGCTTGCAATTTTAAAACTTTAGGACTTGCGCCCCATATGTACAACTTATTTGTGGTACTAAGTGCCAACTGAAAGAAATAAATAAGTTTCAACAAATAATTTCAAAAAATGAATTCCAAATTATAATTATTTGATTACTTACATTATGAAAAAAGCTAGTAGCTATTAGAGAAATTTTTTCAAACAATAACACTTTCATAGGTACACAACTTTTAATATTATTACTAATTCCTAATTGTCCAAATACGTTGCATCCAAAAGAATAAACAATACCTTCATCTGATAGAGCTAATGAATGTGCATGGCCAGCACTAATGTGTTTTATAAATATACCTAATAAAGAGTTAACCAGTGTAGGTATATTACGCTTATCAGTATTTCCATGACCTAATTGGCCATGAACTCCCCAACCCCAAGTAAAAACTCGTCCATCCGCAGTTAATGCCATTGAATGGTATTGCCCAGCTACAGCATCAATAATCATTTCTTGAGCCAAACTAGTAATTAGTTCAGGACTAGAACATTGTAGCACTTTACCGAGTCCTAATTGGCCATATTTACTTGATCCCCAAGCATAAATACCATTATTAGTTACCGCTAAGGTATGACAATGTCCACACGACACACTAAAAACTTCCATTTCCATGTTGCGAAAAAAATTTATTTTATTTGGTAAAGCATATCTTAACACAGAGGACCCAGTACCTGCAAATTATATATACATATATCAGAAAGATTTAAATATTTTAAAATTTGTATAAATCTCTGATTAAAAAATGTATACTACTTTTCTTTTACCTAAACATCCTTGTATAGAACTACCCCATGTGTAAACATCACCATTTCTAATAAGCGCAACATGAGAGAAACCTGCGCTTAAAGATCTTCTTTTGAAATCAATGCTTGAAACACGATTGATGTGTTCTTGCTTTAATAGAAAAAAAAGAGAAAATTTGATAATATAATTACGATTCAACGATGGCATATTGCAATCAAATATAACATACCTTTCTTGTTCCCATTAATTGGATATTATATCCTAAATTAGAGTTTTGATTTAACAAGACTTTTTTATGAATCAAAGTAAGTAGTATTAACAAAAATGTTTCTATTATTTCTTCCACTAATGTATCAGCTTCTGTCTATGTATAAAAATATTAAATTAATTAGATATTATAAACCTGATATAATAAAAAAGAAAAAATTATAATATTTTTCCATGATTATATTTACATTATTCTCTGCAAGATCTATAGAATCACATTGACTAGATTGAGAACTATAAGAAGTTGTCCTGTGCCGTGCTTTACATTTAACCAATTTTGGTCTTAAGACTGGATTTGTTGGATCATATAAAGTTATTAATCTCTAAACAAGAATATCATAATAAAATATTATGATATATATAACCTAAATATGTGAGTACAAAGAATAAAATGAAATCAATATTCTTACCTGTAACACAAAAATTTGTAACTCTGAAATACTATTAATAATAAATGAAATATGTTTTCTAGCTAAATTGGGATTTATCAGCATTCCTTGCATCAAGTTTGGCTCACTTAAACATATTAACAAACCATCTGAAATGTCAATATTATTTTTACATGTTATTTGTGAATTTGTCAATTCATTCCATTAGATATAAACATATACCTACATGGCATAGATTTGCTCACATCAAATAAATGTATAGTTCTCATAAGAACATCCAACATTTGTCCGTAAAGACATCTTTGCGTAGCCAAGTGGTGTAAAACTTCCCAAAGACAGGTCTGACCTGCTATATTAATAGCTAGAAGTTCATCATAAAATAAATTTGTAGATAAAAAGTATCTGAAAATAATATTTATTATATGAATCAATTAAATTGAATCTGATAATATTTTATATTATATATTCTATTTCATGATTTTCATGCTCACAAGAAATCCTTATAAATAGTTTTGGATTGATGTGGTGCAGCTCTTAATGTCATTTCTATGAAAGCAAGAATGCATAAATTTGATAAATGTATTCTTGTTGCAGCTGACAATTCACTAATACCAGGAGAAATCAAACAATGTGTTAAACTGCTTAAAAGCTCTGAGGTGTGACCAGCTGATGCAAATTTTAGAATGCTTTTTAATAATCCGCACTGTATAAGTAATATAACAAAATTTATTTGAATTTAGAACAAAATTTAATTACAAACATATTAATATTAAATAGTTAATAATTTGCTGTACCTTGGATAATTTGTAAGAAGCTACGGCACGTGGGAATTCTCTATTTGTAAGTAATATGTCTCCAACGTATTCAAATAATTGTTGTGAATTCATACCGAATACCAAAGCCAATTTTCCTGCTTTATCAAGTTCATTTCTTTTCAAGACTAATTCCATAAAAACAGATAATAATGGTTTCCTAAAAATAAATACAATATATATTAACATACAATAGAATATTTAATGATTTAGTACAATTTTTTAATGAAAGTATATAGATTAACCTAAGCACAACTCCATATACTCCACAATTTGTTACAATTATACAAGTTTCTATATAAGGTGTCTCAATTTGTATATCTTTCATTTTTGGTGATAATTTATATGAATTTTCAACGTCATGAGATAATTTTTCAGACGTCATATTTGTAAAGTTAATAAATTTATATACAGCATGAATAATTTCTTTGCTATTCTGAAAAGAAAACTGATCAATGATACATCCTGGATTAAACTTGTAATCTCTGTGCGGATTGACCTCAGACATTTGGTCAGATAGTACATATAAAGTATATTGTGTAACATCAGTAACAAAGAACAATCGATGAGTTAATAAAATATTCTCACAAGTTTCAGGTACTTTATGAATAGATAAAGGATTGGCATCAAAATCTGACCCGTGTACCTAGAAACAAAACATATAAAAATCATTATAATTTTATCCTTTTTCTTCTATATATACATTATATATAGAATAGTATATAATTATTCTTACGGTTACATGACTGCTTTCAAAATGATAACATGTATATATTTGTTGGCCTTTTTTGTCATATTGTGGCGTAAGAAACGTATCTTTCGACATTTGTTCAGGATTCATTGTACAAATGTAATCTTCAGAGCATGAATCAATATTGAGAATTGGTGAACTATTATCTTTATTAGTTCCAGTATCTGTAGAAGTAATAAAAGCATATTTTACTAAACAGAACCGGGTTTTTATAATTATATATTAAATAAAACAATCACCATGATATCGTGTGTTTTCTCCCAAGTTTTGATTTTTAGTTTCAACTAATTTTTGTCTAAGAATAGCAAGCTTCTCTACAGATAACTGTTTAAGTCCTTGTAATCTAGATCTTGTAGAAGCAAAAGACTTTGTATTTTCATAAATCATTTCATTTGTCGGAGAATGCGTAAACATTTCTTCATTTTCAAATTGACGCGAACAACTATATGCACGATGTTCCAATAGTAAACGCCATTGCTGTTTTGTTTTACTTGTTATTAAAAGTGAGATACTATCATTACTTTTTTCTTTACAAATATTTAGACTAATAATATGTCCACTAACATGAGCCGTGCCTACTTGCAGACCATTTTCAAGATTTATTAGCATTACTTCTCCATATTCGTTTCCAACAATACCTATATTTGTGGATGACTTCGTATCTTGCCACCAAATTAGTGCTGTTGGTCTATAAATATACAAGTATAACAAAAATCTTACATAAATGGATGATAATAAAATAAAGTTTACGTTATCTATATAATTAACATAAAAAAATAATATATTTATATAAAATCATGTTCTTACTTGGAATGTGAAGATTGTGTACCAACATATGTAACCATTGTTATATCATCAGTGCGCCATTGTTCGCTGACAGTACAGTTTTCATTGACTAATTTTAAAACAGGAATTATGTATAAACAACTATCACTCGTAGTTGCAAGGAGCCAAGACCCGTATGGGTCGAAACAAAAAGCTGTTATTTGTTTATGAGCTCCTTTGAACCAAGGAATTCTTTTTATAATCGGTATGGAAGATATGTCTTTTTTGTAATAAAGTATAATATCAGCATTTCCAGTTGATAGCGCTAAAAATAATCTCTTTTCATATTCACATTGAGCGCTATGCTGTATATCTGATACTTTTATAAAACATTGCAATTTAAATAATCTATGTTCATGGAAATTTACAGTTGCTTGATAGCCTCCGCTAGCTTTATTTTCAGTCATCATCATATAACCCCAACTAACGTTTTATATATTTTATGATAAAACCTATATAAAAAGAAATAAAACAAAGTTAGGATTTATGTTTTAAATTATTTCAACTATTCAGTTTAATCTTAATCCTCGAAATAATCAATATAAATTAAAAATAATTAAAATCACTGTAGAGATAAAAACAAAATGTATAAATTTGAAAGATAATTAAAACGTTACGTTTCTAATATACTTTACGAAGGAGCATTTTCAATGCAAATCGCATATAAACGTATAGTTCTATTGATATATCTTGATACATAGACAATAAAATTCAACTAACCAAATTCGTAGGAGATACTTTTATACTTTAACGTTATATAATATGATTTAAAACAAGAACAACTAAGATCACAATCATTTTTATCGTATCTTGCTATTTCATAGGGGTAACTTTCTATTAATTTACCAAACGTCAAAGCTTCAAGGTTATGTTACACTATCTTTGAAAATGAAGAGTTGTAGGGAATAGCGTAGCGTCTTCTACAGATTTTAGCTTCAGTTTTTCTCCACTGCGTTGGAGTGGCGCTGCCAAAATATAACGAATCCAATTTTTTTTGCAATTATTTTATCAATCTTCTTATAGAATAGACACTTATTGTTACTTTGAATTAAAGATTTTTCCACATCCATCGCGTATTAAGCACATGGTTAAGCATTTCTTATTATATCCCGGGGACCAGATTTTAAATATTTAAGAGCAATCAAGATCCCTGCTTTTAAGGAAGTACCGACAGGTTGTCGGTATCACATCAAGGCGCTTGGCATGCCCTCTGATGACAGATGTCAAGAATCAGTGTGGTCAGTATGATCCAATCAAGTTGGGATCATTCTACTTTAAAAACTAATTCGAAAATATAGAATAAAATATTTTCATAAATACGTTTTAGAACGTTTAGTATGCATTTTATTAACAAGTTTTATAAATAAATATTAATTACTTAATATAATCTATGAATTTATTTCCTTAATACAGCAATACAATAACAAAATAATTATTTATAATTTTTTGTCCAATTTGGTTTTATACATTCTCTGATCTGGCTGTAATTTTCTGATTGGAATATGATTAAAGAAAGTAGTCATCCAATCTTTAGTATATTTTATATCTAATAATATAGCTAAAACCTGATTGATGGTAAGACTTTTGTTACTTCCAGAACCCCAATTTAAGTATCTATCTAATGGCAGTTTCTCCATGCGTATCTTTTCTTTTTTAGCTTTAGCTAAAGAATAAGGTTGAGGAACTGACTAAAAAATATAAAAAGGAAAAGAAAAATTAGATATTATAAAGAAACCTATGTTATAATATATCTTACCTTATCGACCATTGCACCAATAATATAAACTTTGTCAGGATCATAATATGTCATATCTGTTTTACAATGAGGTGTTAGGTAAACTAATTGTTCTTTATCGAATATATCAAGATAAGACTGAGAAGTAACATTTAATGGAAAAGTATCTTCATAAAGACTTGGTATCAAATGATTAAGTGATACAATAATTTCATTGTCCGGTGCTGCATTACAGAAAACAAGTTCAGCTGGAGTATTATGAAAACGATTGAAGACAAAAGATAATAATAATTGTCTAGCACAATTCTTTATTTCAAAATTTCTCATGACATTATTGTATCCACAATCGAATACTATTTTTGGTTCAAACATCGAATACATCATTGTAGAATAATTTAAATAATAATCTAAGGATTTGTCATATAGACGCAAAAATAGAGAATTGTGTCCAAGACCATATAATAAACCGCTAGGACATTCTTTTCTGTATTGTTCCAATTTTAATATTAAGTTTTCTGTTTGCTGTTTCTTTTTATCTTTAAAGTTATTTCTTTTCATTTCATTTTTAAAGAGAAACTCGATATGTTTCCTGTAAATATAAACAATGCTAAATTATAAATTCCAAATAAAATAACTGTTATAAGAATTATAAAAATTAGTTCTATTATACAGAGTGTCCTGTAACTGGTGATACAAGCAGGCAGGCGGTGATTCTGCATGAAACACTTTTCGAGAAAAATAATTGATCGAGTAGACGTGCTCTCCCTGCTTGTTTGTACTACCAGTTACACGACATCCTCTGTATACATTTACAATAATACAATTTAATATAAAACATTGTTAATAAAATACTAAAATTTAATAAATATTTGAAATACTAAATTAGACATGATGATTGTTCATTACAGTGGAATATTATTTTTTCTTTTATCTCATTGGAAAATTTAAATAGAATTTTAAAAATTACCTTTGGTGATTTTTCGAAGTTGTATTTAATAAATATATCCAATCTTTTGGTCGAAAGACTTGGGGAACATTTTCGTTCATTTCTCGCAGATATTCTATTTCATATTGTAACAATTTATACGTTTTATTTAGTTCAGGATTTTCTAAAAGTTCGTCTAATTTTCTTTGATCACTCTCATCTATTTTTTCTTTCGTCTTTAGTTTTACAGATTGGCACAAGTCACGTTTTATAAAACCACTTATTTCAATTCCATTAAGGTTAGAACATGTTTTATTTATCGTATTAAATGAAGACGACAAAGTAGGTTGTAATTTTTTAAATAAAAATATACTATGCCTCAGACCGTAATTGAACATTTTGCATCTAATTATTTTAACTTATTTTTAATTGTTTATTTCTTAACATTGAAATAAAATCCACGCTATTTACGATATCGATGTTTATATTAAACTGCGTAAGTCATAGAATAAATATATAAAACTATAGTGGTTCAACGCTAAGTTCAAAGCTTGTCCACCATAAACAGATACTATAGAAATCTTCATTACCGATGTTATTTAATTTAATACCTTATTGATGACAAATATTCATAAATGTTTTTTGACTTAAAAATTAGAATATAAATTGAATATGAAGAATATGCATATAAATTTGTAATATTTTTATATTTATGAATTATAATGAAATAAAAAATATAATAATTGTTCTTCCTACTTATTACTATCTGTCGGAATGAAAGCATTATTATCGTATAAGATTTAAGAATGAACTGAAGCCTTAGCTTGAAGGCTGTTTACGTCGACACTTGTATATACTGTCATAATATTTAAATGAGCTTTTTTAGTAAATCGTGTGGTAGATCGTGAATATCATGATGTCTGATGATGAAGCTGAATTTGAAGTTGTATCAATAAATAACAAAAAATCTTCTGAAAAAAAGGAATCTGTCATTTTTGTTGAACAATTTGTTAAAAATGTATGCGATTTTAGTTCTCAGTATGGGAGTAATATCAGTATTTCCTACACAGCATACAATCTTGCTGGAAGCCCGAGTAAATTTCCTGATTATGGAGATTTTCCACAAGCCTTTGTCATGGTATGTTTAATTAAAGAAAGATCTTCATCGTGTTTTAATGTCATTGAAAATCTGTGAACTTTATAATTATTCTAATGATTATGTTTCTTATCAGTGATGCTACATTTACTTTGATTTGATCAAAGGTAATTAATAATAATTTTAGAGAACATATGGACCATGGTGGAATAAAGCACCTTCAAGGTTAGAAGATTACATGATACAAAATAATGACAGTGTAATTAGCCAAGATTACATTGGTATGTAATGTATGACAGAAGAAAGACTAGATATTTGTATATGTGATGCTTAGATTATAAAGTAATATAATTTTTCTTATATGAAGATGTTGAATATTATCAAGAGGTATATCCTATCCGAATATCAATATATGAAACCTATAATCCAGGCAGCGTGGTCGGTATATGGGTACAAAATCCTTGCGGACAATGGTTTCAGTTATGGAATGGACCTCCACAGTTTGTACCTGAGAGACCACGCATATTTTCACCACCTTTAAAAACGTGTCATTTTAAAACAAAAATGGTTAGATTAGAATTTAATCATGATTTATTAGATTACTATACGGAATTGGATGCTGTATTGCTCATTGGAACATTTGAATTGATAATGCCTCGCGATCATATGTACCATCAAAATTTAAGTAATTTGTTACAAGAATTAGGCTGTAATGGATATAATAACGAAGATATATATAATTTGACTCCTGATTATTTGAAAGCTAAACAAGATTTGTCTATCCTTAAAAGAATGTTTTGTAAATACTGCATTCTTTATAACAGGTAAAATATATTTATTTTATACATGATAATATTATTTTTTCTTAAGAACTGAAATATACTTTCATATTTTTATATATTTATATACATTTACAGCAAAATAATGAATAATATATCTAAAGGCAAGTTAGTTACTACATTAGGACAGCACTGCCATTCTGTACCACCTATAGAAGAAGCATTTAACAGTTTACAAGAATTTTTACAGGAAGAGTTTCCTAAACTTATACGAGAGATGCACCTTTCTTCATCCTCTCCAATATGTAGGATATCTTTACAAAATGACAAGAATATATTTTCAACTTTGAACAACATTGATAGTCGACCATGCGGTAGTTTTTCTGCACTTCCAGTAAAGTATTTGATCTCTATATTATATTTTTTATATCTTTGCTTATATATTTATTATACTGATTTACAGGATGAAACGGTTTTAAAAATTTTAAAAAATCTAGATTTAAAGACACTCTGTCGTTTATGCAGAGTAAACCGACACTTCAGTAATATAGCAAAAGATGCTCTTTTGTATACAAGTCTGAATTTAAAGCCATATTGGTACTGCTTGAATGATCATGCATTAAAATATTTAATTCCAAGATGTCAATATTTACAACGTTTAGATTTATCATGGTGTGGTAATTATAACATGATTAGTGACAGAGATTTTGTCGATTTTATTCATTCTTGCGGTAAGCTTTTAACACATCTACGTTTAAATTGCTGTCGCTGTATTAATGATAAAGTAATTCTTGAAGTTTCAAGAGTTTGTAAAAATTTAAAAGGTATGTTTTCAAATCCTTCAATCCATACATTACTTTTATATCATAAATTTTATTTAAATTCTTTTTTAGAATTGTGTTTACGTAATTGTATGGGTATTACAAATGATGGATTTTCAAAGTTAGAGAAACTACAGTGCCTTGAACGCCTAGAATTGTATGGAACCACTATTGAAACTTCTATTTTGTGCTCAATTTTAAGGAAAAATCCTCAAATGAAACATTTAAATTTAGCAGGAATGCACGATCGTTTAAATGTCGATGAAATAGCTATTGAGTTAGGAAACTCTTGTCTAAAATTAGAAAGCGTAGACTTTTGGAAAGCACAAACTCTTACCCCACATGGTGTAAGAGCTCTTGCTCGATGTGTTAATCTTCGAGAAGTAGATTTTGGTTGGTGGTATGTGTTATTGCATTAAACATTATTTACCTATTAGGAAAAACTAATAACAATATGATTATATGTTATGCTTGTAGTAGCGGAATGGGTGCTCCAGGTGATTCATTGAGGGGATTATTATCTTCTTGTCGTTATTTAGAAAAAGTATTTTTGGCAGCATTAAGAGGATTAACGGATAGAGATTTAGAACCATTGTTACTTTGCCAACGTTTACAGCAATTAGATTTGTTAGGAGCACGTTCTCTTACTCCTGACATGTGTTATGGATTTTTATTATGGTGTCCTAAATTGGAAATGATTGATCTCAGTTTTTGCGAAGGTATTGGTGATTCCAAAATTCAAGAATGGCGACGAAAGTATCCACATATATCTTTTAAAAGAAGTTTTCAAGTACATGTAACTGATTTACTATAAAGTATTTTTATACGTTCAAAGTCTTATTTCTTAAAAGTTATAAACCAATTCATAAAATTAAATATTTCTGAGTATATAAAGACTGAAATTCATTAAAAAAATAAAATTATAACTATTATGCAAATAAATTGATACTTTACGCAGAAATTGAAAACAGATATTGTATAATAGATTTGTACATTTAACATTTGTATAAAATAATATACAAAACGATATAGTTTTTTTCACTAACACACATATAAAAACTCTCTCTTTCTTTTATATATAATAATAAATAAGATATCTAATAATTTAATTACTTATTACGAATTTATAGTAAATTATGTGAAAACTACTGTTTACTATTTATCTGGAGGTTCAATATCCTTGGGTTCAGGAACTCCGAGCATACGCATGAACTTAAGTTGGCTACAACTAAATGCCAGATCGAAGGGCCGAAACTTTACTATATTACGAGTCCAGAAGTCAACATGTTCATCAACTCTAAAATTGGCGTACAAAATGCCAAGCGCTCGAGTAGCAACATCATCCTAACATGTGTCAGAGCGTTCAGGATAGATAAAAGATGTAACGACCTTGGCACGGGGCTTGGTAGAAAAGCCACCGTTGATCTTGTAACCAAGGAGCGTCAAATCGGACAAGTACCGAGACGAGCCGCATTTATATATATATATATATTAATGTTATTTTTTAAATATTTATTATGTTATTATTTTGATCATTTATTAATTATCTAGTGATATATAAAGATGTCTTTCCCTTATATGATTGGTTGTTTATATATTCCAAGAATTATCGTATAGTTACTAATCGATTAGTTTGAAACGATTCTATTGTCGAGTTCGATAAGTTACTATAATATATGTCAAATATAAACAACATGAAACGTATAGGTTAAACGTGAATTTATTTAAATATTTTGAAATGTACACACTTTTACACGGCTTGTATAAGTACTTAGTACAAAAGGATGAATATTTTATATTAATACTCGGACTTGACAATGCAGGAAAAACTGTACGTGTAGAACGAACAATTTTTTAAGGTTATACGTCACAACACACACAACACTTCGTCTTTTAGTTAAATTATATATTATGTTTATTTACTTTTATTTTTTAGACGTATTTAGAAGCGGCTAAAACTAAATTTACAAAAAATTATAAAGGTATGAATCCAAGTAAAATTACGACAACCGTTGGATTGAATATTGGAAAAATTGATATCGCTGGAATACGTTTTAATTTTTGGGATCTTGGAGGACAAGAAGAACTTCAATCCTTATGGGATAAAGTATATAATCAGTAATTTCATCTTGTAAGTTATAGACATAATGTTTATTTATAGCATGATTATTTAATTATACAGTATTATGCTGAATCCCATGCAGTCATTTATATCGTTGATTCATCAGACCGTGATAGGATACCGGATTCTAAAGAAACTTTTGGTAATTTTTTTATGTATATAATATCTTACAGATATATCATATATATTATTATAATAGAATAATATTTTGATTATCGTGCCAAAATATTTGATGGGAATGATTGCACTATTATTTGATATTATAGATAGGGTAATATCATCTGAACATTTGAGAGGAGTACCCCTCTTAGTTTTAGCCAATAAACAGGATATTCCAGATTGCATGGGGGTTAGAGAAGTTAAACCAATATTTAATCAAAATGCACACCTAATTGGACGAAGAGATTGTATGGTAATGCCTGTATCAGCTATTAACGGGTATGCTCAAGTTATTTTCTATTAAATTTTTTTGTTTTTCCTATATTATTCTATTATTTCTTATTTTCTATGAAAAGGATATTAGCTATAGAATTGTATAAAAAAATAATAAAATTTATAAATTCTTTCTATTAATAATTCTCTGAATGGTATAAAATAATTAAAAAATTTAATGACAAAGTGATGGCGTAGATGAAGGAATTCATTGGCTTGTGGACTGTGTAAAAAGAAATAGTGACGTTCGACCTCCCCGAAATCAAGACGACAGTTGTTTATCATAATTAAAACATTTCTATTTAATTATTAACTATATATCGTTAACAATATTATAAAAACTTTTGTTCCATATATGTTATGTTTATATAAATAAAATACAGTCTTTATTAAGATATAGAATTCTTTCTCGTAAAATTAATCTTTTAACTATAACAACAATGTCTTAGTCAATAATAAAAAAACTTATCAATTTTATTTAGTTAGTTCCAATTCATTCATAACTAGTAATATAATTAAATTTATAGTCGTTTCTTAAGAATATCCAAATGACTAACGTGGTTGTTACTGATATAGAGATAATAATGGAGATAAGAGATAATGCCAACACTTCTTTCGATGTTATATTATAATGGCGATAAAAGTGTTCAAAAGTGGTTGTGCAGCTGTACCCTGTATGATATATAAGTAATATTTTAGTGTCTCATCAATTAAAAAAGTTTATATTTTTTACTTTTATCATGTGGCCTTATTACGAGACCGAAGACTGGAGTGTTTTACCTCCTGAATTCAATCGAAGGTATGTCTGTTTATATTATCGTGTTGTTGATCTATATAAATTTGATTCTTAAAATTCACGATATATTTTGCGTTCTAAATTTTTTATACATATATATATACCTAAGTATACACGATCAATATAAAAAAGTATTATTAAAAAATATTACATTTTATTCTACATTCAATTCCACAAGCAAATTTTAATATAATATATTCTAATAAAATATATTTATGTATGTTTAAGTATAAGTATACACGGTTAAATAAACAAATGTAAAAATATAAAAAATATTACATTATATTACACATCAAGGTTTAATGAAATTTTAATAAAAAGTAGTTTACATTCAAAACACATTATAATTAATTTTTTATTAAGAAAATGAATATTTAATGTTAATACAATTAAAATTAATATTATTTTATGTGAATATTTATCGATTAAATTACACAATCGTAGTATATAGTTATCTCTTCTTTAAATAAAATACACGTTTGTATAAGATATTTAAAAAAAAAAAAGAACAAATATATATATAAATAATGTATATCCACGTACGATTGTGCAATGACACTTATACAATCGTAGAATACAATCGATAGTAAATTATTTGAAAATTCCGTTCGATACATGAAAAATAAGATAATTATAAAAGCTAATAATCTTATCACAAAAGAGAATGAATCAACCGAGTATAGGACATTAAAATATATCAATTTTTGATGGATTGATTATTTTCGGATCATACTGCTGTATCCACATAGTAATCGTAATATCGGTTACACGTATAAATAAAACAAAACAATCATGATAAAGATTTAAAAGTGATAATTTAAAAAATTAACACACGTAAAAAAAGAAAACAAATAATAGAAAAGAAGAGAATTAGTTGAGATAACAGTATCGTTGATTCAAGACAATTGTATGTAAAAATAACGTCAACGAATATTGTCAGATGACGTTGCGTTTGACACGCAATCAAAAGAGACAAATATAGAGTTTATATTAAAGGGGAAGAGATGAACGTATGTGATATGGTATATAGATGACGAGTGATCCGCCATTTTGATTCTCCTCATACGATAGAGCGCGCGTAGTGCGGGCGATTTTTCGTCGTGTGCTCTACAGGCTGCTCGCTTGTAGAGACGTTCATGTAATTACGATTATGAACGATTATTTACGGACCTGTATTATAAACTAAATAAAAGAGATTTGTTTATCGTAAAGGAAAATTTGTGTTAGAATTTACGATATAACTGTTAGGTGAGAATAATCGTGTACAGTGGTGATTACGAATAAGAGAGAAAAAGATAGAAAGAGAGAGAGAGAGAGAGAGAAAGAGAAAGAGAGAAAGAGAGAGAGAGAGAGAGAGAAAAAGAAAGAAAGAAAGAAAGAAAGAAAGAAAGAAAGCAAGCAAGAAGATAGAGGTAGAAGTTAGCATAGAAAGAAAAAGAAAGAGAGAGAGAGAGAGAGAAAAAAAGAAAGAAAAAAAGAAAGAGAAAGAAAATCAGGCGCGGCGCACTGTGTGCGAAGTGTATGCGAGGGCGCCCGATTCGTGATACATACCCTACCTGGGAGGCGAGGCATTTCTCTCGCCGTTTTCTCATATACGGAATTTGCTGCGTGTCGAGAAAAGTGGCCGACACGATAGAAAATTCGAGGACGCGCGGCTCCGTGTCATTTTGTTATCGTACGACTCTCGATCGTTCCCGTGAGAGAACTTCTTTCCACAGTTCAACGTCGATCGGGTATCGTTTATGACAGTTTCTTTTAGGGGGGCGGGGGGCAAGACAGATTTTTTGTGTGTATGTGTGTGTGATGTGTCTGTTGTGTGTTTGTAAGAGAGAAAGCGAGAGCTTGGATGAATAGATAACTACATATAAAGAAAGAGTGAGAAAGAGAGAGAAAGAGAGTTTGAGCAAGTTAACCCTTTACCTTCGATGCAGCCCTTAATAAACGCGAAGAATAGGCTTTTTATGTAACCGGTTTCTAAGCACACGTTTTGCAATATGCTGCCAAGTTTTACGTCGAGCATGCTTTCGTGGTCAATAGACACGTGAAATTGCGATCGAATAACGTTCAAGGACTCACGGTAGATTCCAACGAGTAACGCGTTTCATTCTTCATTTTATTAAATTATTTTTCTTCTCGTTTGCTTACGTTAAACCAGTTTATCTTTTGTTTACGATACACTTGTCACTTTAAATTCTACTATGTATTATTGGATTTTAAAATCGACTTTTTTCTTCTTATCTATTTCTTTATATATCTTTTTACAATGTGACAGTGTTATGAGGTCCGTTTGAAGATGATCATTTCGACTTTTTAAGATTTAAAAAATATTTTAAAATTAGGATCTTATATAAATTGTCTATTTCTAATAATTAAACAAATTCTTTTCATATATTATTTTTTTTGTATTGTATGATTATATCACAATGTCACATGGAAAGAAATATTGATTCTTTATTGATAGATTTTCTATGCACTACTTATCGCATAACTTCTATATATTATAATCTTAGTTGTATATGATTTAAAATTGTTATTGTTATGGTTTTAAATGAATGGATCATATGTATATGATTGTGAGAGTTTTAACGGTAATGATTTGATGATGTTTTGTATACGTAAACTAATAGTTTTTTTTATATCATCTATGTTTATTTTATAATTTGAATGGGTTGTTGTTAGGCAGTTTGATTTTGGTTGTGCTTGTGATTTTATATTTATTAATATTTCTTTTTAATTAAAAACATTTAATGGTTGTCATGATCCATAATATAACTATCGTGTGTCTAATAGGAGGAGAGCAACGTGTTCCCTAATCATCACCAATTCATTTTTACTAGTGACGTCTATTGATTAAATTTCAAAACCAGCCTGTGAAACCATGAATGCCTCAGAACATGGGTAACGTTCTATTCCTAAATTTTTGATAAACGATAAATGATATATACTTTTAAGAGTTCGTTAAGTATTTTGCTTTATAATTTAATATACATAATTGGCAATATCTTCTGTTGTACTTGATTCATTTTAAATATCGAAAGTTATTTTTAAAAAACATTAAAAGATGGGCTTGTTCTTGAAATTAAATATATGAGTACAAGTGTCATTGCATAAACAGAAGGTGGACAGTAACATTTGTGTGCATATAGTAGGTTGGGTGTGTATTCTTTCAGGTTTAACCCAGCCTTTAACATGGCTTCCATAAAACAAGCTTTCAATGAGGCAGTAGAAAGAGGTAAGTATTATGTTTATATTTACAATGCCTAAGTATATGAATTCTATTTCAAGTATTAACTTTATACTTTGCTTATAAGAGCAAGCTTCTTTAAGTCATACATTTTTTAATAAGCTATAATTGCTTTGCAAATGAAAATATATGATTTTTCAAATTATTTTTCTTATTATGTTTGTATATATTTTTTACATTTATAATGTTATGATTTAGATATATATATATATACATAACACAGAATATCTTAAATTGTTTTCTTATCCTTATGTGGGTATACATTCTTTTTTATATTTATTTAATATATTATAAATGCTTTTTATATGCAATATATGCTTATTCATTGTGGTATCTCATGAGAATGATTATCATCATTGCACTTTAACTCATCATAGAGCTGCTAACACAATGCACTGATGTCACATCTATAATTTAAAAGTCTCAACAGTTAGAATGCCGGCACCAACAAGATTGAGAGACTTGATCAGACAAATAAGAGCAGCTCGGACAGCGGCAGAAGAAAGGACAGTAGTAAACAAGGAATGTGCTTATATTCGTTCAACGTTTAGAGAAGAGGACAGTGTTTGGAGATGCCGTAACATCGCTAAACTTTTGTACATTCACATGCTTGGGTCAGTAATAAACATTTGTTTCTTAATTTTTTTCTGACAATATTTATCAATTATATTTATAACATTATCAATTATATTTTTAGATATCCAGCACATTTTGGACAATTAGAATGTTTGAAACTTATTGCTTCATCTAGGTTCACAGATAAACGTATAGGCTATTTGGGAGCAATGTTACTATTAGATGAACGACAAGATGTTCATTTATTAATAACAAATTGTTTAAAAACGTGAGAATTTTCAAACTGAAATAACACGTATTATAATTATACATGAAATAATGATAAATGTTACTAACTATTAATTTTTCAACATATAGCGACTTAAATAGTCCCACACAATTCGTAATTGGTTTGGCCCTTTGTACCTTGGGTGCTATTGCATCGCCAGAAATGGCAAGGGACCTTGCTTCTGAAGTTGAAAGACTGATGAAATCACCGAATGCATATATTAGAAAAAAAGCTGCGTTATGCGCTTTTAGAATTATTAGACGTGTACCAGAATTAATGGAAATGTTCTTACCCGCTACTCGAAGTTTAATTACAGAAAAGAACCATGGAGTGTTAATAACTGGTGTTACTCTTATTACTGAAATGTGTGAGAATAGCATTGATACATTGAATCATTTCAAGAAGGTATGTTTATATTTCTAAATACAAATATATTTTAGATAGCATAGAAATATAATGTAGTATAAATGAAGAAACAAAGAAGTAACAATAAGTCAATTGTTTAGATACACTTTAGAAAATTAAATGTTTTTTATATATCACAACTATTAATAAATATTGTGAGTAAAATTCACATACAATTTTTTATGAAAATGTTTTAAAAATGGAAAAGAATGCAGTCTCATGATAACAAAAATTATATCAATATATAATTTCATTATATTTAAAAAAAAAAAAGAAGTTTAATTATTTTGTTATTTTATATATGTGTATATATATATATATATGAATGAAATTTTCCAAATTGCTTTTGTATATTATAATCTCATAATATAAATATGGTTTTATTTTCTTCAGGAATGCGGCCATCGAGAGGTAAAAGCCATATAAGTGTTTAATGTATATTTGCATGTTATGCTTCATACACAGACTTCATTCTTTTCTTTTACTTTATATGGGATTACAATTATGAATTAAATGGTTAAGGTTCTCTGTTATGCTGCTTGCAATTATACTATTAATAATTGTAAATCTATCTATAGTCGACAAATCTAAATATATTTCTTTACTATTTCAAATATTTGTTCTTCATTATTTTCTGGATGAAGCTTTAGGTACACATGTATCTTATCTGCTTTCTAAATATACATTTAATCTTTAGCTGGTTAAGGTGGTGCAGAACAATTAGAGCTGTATCATTCTGAATGTATAATCTATTCCAATACCAAAAATGCAACTCAGATTTGCCCTAATATTTAGTTTAAGAATTTGTTTCAGTATTCTGGTTGAAAGTTAAGCATAAGGATTTATATTATATATCCATATGTTTTTAAATATCAATAAGAGCATGTTACAAAATATTGTTAAATTAATTTCTTTTATAGATAATATTATACTATATATATTTATTATCATTCTATTTTATTCTTTATAAGCATTAACAATTACAAACAAGTATTTATACTATATTCTTATACTTACACCTTTTCTTTAATGTGCTTTATTGTTTTGTTTTATCAAGAATAAGTTCCGATGTTTAAAAAATTATGCTATTATTTCAGATTGTGCCAAATCTAGTGAGAATTCTAAAAAATTTAGTACTAGCTGGATATTCTCCTGAGCATGACGTAGCCGGAGTATCTGATCCATTTTTGCAAGTGAAGATCTTACGTCTCCTTAGAATTTTGGGACGTAACGATGTAGATGCATCTGAGGCAATGAATGATATTCTTGCACAAGTTGCTACAAATACCGAAACAAGTAAAAATGTTGGTAATACAATATTATACGAAACTGTTCTCTCAATAATGGATATTAAATCCGAGAGTGGACTTAGAGTATTGGCAGTTAATATCTTAGGTCGATTTTTATTAAATAATGACAAAAATATTCGTTACGTTGCGTTAAATACATTATTGAAAACAGTTTATGTGGATACGAGTGCAGTTCAGAGGCATCGCTCAACAATATTGGTAAGATCTTTAAACGATTAATAAAATTAGGAAAAGAAAAAAAACAATCTTTTTTGAAATATTTTTTCTCACGTTTTTTTTTTTTTTCTTTTTTTATTACAGGAGTGTTTAAAAGATCCAGATGTATCAATACGAAGGAGAGCAATGGAACTAAGTTTTGCGCTTGTTAATTCAAGTAATATTAGAAATATGATGAAGGAATTACTGCTCTTTTTAGAACGAGCAGATCCTGAATTTAAAGCCCAATGCAGTAGTAATATAGTCATGTCTGCAGAAAGATTTGCACCAAATAAACGTTGGCATCTGGAAACATTATTTAAAGTCCTTGTTGCTGTGCGTACACTGTAATAATAATGACTTTATTAATAGATTATAGAAAATAGCGTAATTGAATAGTTATTAATCTTATCCTTATTTATCAGGCTGGCAATTATGTACGAGATGACGTAGTAGCTTGTACAATTCAATTAATCTCAGAAACCCAATCGCAACAAGGTTATGCAGTTAGTGCGCTATGGCGTGCATTAGAAAAGGATACATCTGATAAACAACCATTGGCTCAAGTAGCAACGTGGTGTATCGGAGAGTATGGTGATCTTTTACTTTACGGTCCACCATTGGAAGATGCGGATGCACCAATAAATGTTAGTTGGATATCATCTGTATTTTTGATACATTCAAAATTGTTTCATGCTGATTGATTTTTCTATGTTTTAGTTAACAGAAGATGAAGTTATTGATGTTTATCAAAGATTATTATGGAGTCCACAAAACACAGTTGTTACAAAACAATATACTTTGTTATCCCTTACAAAATTAAGTACAAGATTTCAAAAAGGAAATGAGTAAGTACCATCATTGCATTTCAAAAAATGATAACTTTTTTATTTTATTTATATAATTCAGATAAATTTTAAGATTATTTATATACCTTAAGTTATATATTTTTTTTCTTATTTTACAGAAAAATTCGACAAATTATAGATACGTTTGGTAGTAATTTGCATATTGAATTGCAACAACGGGGCATTGAATTTTCACAATTGTTTAGAAAATATGATCATTTACGACCTGCTTTACTTGAAAGAATGCCCCCTATGGAGACTGCAAGACCACAAGCAAATGGTATTATTGGTATGGTGAATGGTGAACCAGAACAAGAAGATGAAAAATCAACAGTATTAGAAACATCTGTTACCTCCTCTGATTCAGTATGTATCAAATTAATACTATATAAATATAAATAAAATGTATTAATTGATTGTTGGTAAAAATATATTTATTTATCTTTGACAGAGTGCACTTTTGGATTTGCTTGGAAGTACCGATGTTGGGATGACAATGTCAACAGTTACGACTAAAAATCCACCTCCTCCCACAACAAGTATAAATAACAACGATCTTTTAGATTTACTTGGTAGTTTGGATATGAATACAGTAGCACCACCATTAGTACTTCCTCAACAATCACAATCAACAACACAAATGTTTAATCCTACGAGTACAACCAACTTCTTGGTAGATGGCCTACTTAATAATTCTTCAATTCAAACTGGTTTGTATTATTTGTGTTATACAAAGAAATATTATCATCTATGATTATAATGTTAATGATTATTTAAATTAAATTCTTAATTTATAATTATAGAAGTTTCAAACATGATTGTTTTGGATAAATCTGGACTTAAAATAACTTTTAAAATGGAAAGACCGCCAGATATTACAGATTTATTAATTATAAATATGACGGCACATAATTCTACGAATAATGCATTAAGTGAATTTTTATTTCAAGCTGCAGTTCCTAGGGTATAAAATTTAATATACATATAATTTTATTTATATACATATATGAAAAATAACTAATGAATAAATATCCTACACGTTTTAGACATTCCAATTACAAATGCTGCCACCATCAAGTACAGTTATTCCTCCATCAGGTGAAGTGACTCAAGTAATAAAAGTTACAAATATCAATAACGTGAGTTTTATTCTTTTATGTTTACAAATACCAATTATTTCATAAACATTTAAACTGCCTAGAACCATATTAAATTGCCTATTATCATAAAGAAAAATATACATTAACTGTTTAGAAATAATTAAGTATGCTTATGAAGTTTTTAAAGTATCTATAAAATTATATCCATTAGTTATATATATATTTGACAATAATTTTGTTAAAACTTATTTTGTGTAATTAGGTACCACTAAGAATGAGACTACGAATTTCTTATACTGGATCAGCAGGGCCAATTTTAGAACAAACAGAAGTAAATAATTTTCCCTCATTGGTATCACAGTGACATCCTACTATACAAAAAACAATTGTACATATGCCTGCCTAATAACTAATTAAGTCTGATTATAGACCATATACAACCTCACTTTCTTTTTGAGATAAAGTGAAAATGTGTTGACAAAAAAAAATGTACCAAACATTTTTGTTATTTTATTCATTGAATGATTGATAAACATCTTCAGCACGTGTAGTGCGAATAGTGTTTATTTTATGGCATGTGCATATCGATATTAGTATTTCTTATTGAAAAAGAACATCCCCACCTGCTCACAGGCACAAATCTGTGTTCAATACTAAGCAATATCATGATTATTTTACTTATGTACAGATTACTTATGTATATTACACATTATTAGATATTGTTCGAAATTGTATGTAATATTCTTAAGTTTTCTTTTCATTGAGTATTTTAAAGTATATCATTGGTAGAAAGTTGTTTTGAATCGAGATGACATATTGAATATTTGTTTTCGTTCTATTGTTGATATGCATGCATCATATACTTGTAGATAATCAAAATAAAAAGAAAACAAAGAAAAGAAAAAAAATAATGCTTGTTTGAGCAGGTGATAACAATATTAATTTCAACATTTTACAAAGAAATATCAAGCATAATTGGTAATTAAATGAATAAAGCAGTAAACATGATGAAAAATAATGTAAAATATCATTCATATTATGGTGCATGTCTATAAAGAAAAAAAAAGGAAAAAAAAAGAAGTAATTATAACAATAAATATATCATTGTAAATATTTTCTCTACCAGGACATTATAAGGTAGGAAAATAATATTGGATACAACACTACTCCGTTGATTTGTCAAATTAATGATATTATTGTCTCTTCATTTAATTTCCATATATTAAAGTATTGGATAAACATATTAGAATCTCTCCAATCTATCTCTTTAATAGTATGGATGAATTATGATGATTGTTCTTAAAAGTGTTGTTGTCCTGTTATTATTTAATGAACAATTAATCCTTGCTGTAATAATTGATCTTTTCTACTATATTTGTAACAAATGAGAAAAAATTCGATTGCCTTGTAAATAATAGATAGGTGCAGTCATATAGAAGTGATGGGGGTTCTTATACAGATGGGATACAAAATGGAATTCTTACAAAATATGGATATAATACAATTATTAGGATTATATAATATAGTATTCATTTTTTTTTTTATTTTTTGGATATTCTTTTTAAAACAAAAAAGTTTTGTTGCGATTATTTACATACACGTGGTTAAATATGTACATTATAATATCTCTCATTTACTATAATAACGTCAAGGGTGCAGTGTTTATACAAATTCACAAATGTATTTAAAATATATAGTAACATTGGAGGGCTGAATTCTGGATGTTATATCAAATTGACTTTGATTACAAATATTTCATTACTCTGTGTCGGGAGGAGGGGAAGAATAAGTTTCATTAAAATAACATGATCATAATTTACCAGAACTTCAAAAAATTCTTAATCATTGACAATTAAACTAATAAAGTTATATCAAAAGTTGGATTCATTATTACACAAAAAAAACTAATTAATACTTAAACAGTGATTAGTAGAATGTGAGGAATTGATGACATTATATAAGAAGTTTTTTATATGTTTTAAATATGTAATATAACTTTTAAAAATATAATTCAAAATTAATCATGCTCCTCGTGTATGATAGAAAAATTGGATCGCACTATTGAAATTTGTCAAATAATTCATTTTAAGAGAGTCTGCTTTTTAAAATTATAATGTAATTTAAGAATTCGTTTGTCAATATTTCACAAAATTAGATGACAACTGAAAAATGATGAAAAATTTATTTATACATTTGCACAAAACAAACATTACATTCCCTTATCTAATTTATTCAAATTGTGTAAAGTTTTAAGAATTTATAATTTTAACAAAACTGGGTATTTATCAATGTCTTCAGAGAACGTGTGAAGAAAATTAATCTATTCAAATAATTTTAAAAGGGGTCTAATTTTTATTTTTTTTATCTGTATAAAACTATGCTTGCTATAAATATAAAAAAATGCAAGGTCTATAAAAATGTATAATACCTACTTAGGAAAATGGCAGTGTGACAGACAAAAATAATTTCATATGTTGGAAAGATTACTTTTCAGTCTTTTATACAATGTAAACTAACAGAAGAATAATGTACTTAATTTTATTAAATTAAATCTAATATTAGTATGTTACAATTTATAGTTTTGTAAGTTTAATAGGCTTAATATATATGGTTAACAAAAATTTAGCACATCCTTAGTTGATTTTTAGTAGAATTAGGCTTCTTTGATCATGCCAGATTTTCATTAATATTATGAAATATTGTTAGATATGTTATTAGTATAATTGTACGCGCATTTTAGCTCCGTCCCTTTATATGTTGTGCGATATGAATGTTTGGAGTGCGAAAGCAGAACAGGTGGGTGTGTTTCTGAGTGGCCTTGTCCTAAAGTCTGTGACACAGTATCAGCCCTTCAGTGGGGTGTGCTCTGCCTACTTGTTCTCTATGCTATATTAGTTTTATAAATATGATTATAAATAAATATAAATATGAATATAAATATAAATATAAATAAATAAATAAATATATATATATATATATATATATATATACATATATATATATATATACTTTCTAGCAAATCAAGGTGTGAAAATAAAATGTATTTTTATTCCATTAAGTCTTTAAAATATACGTCTCGTACGTTTGTTTTGAAAACTATCTAAATAGAAAGATTATCTAAAAAAAAAAAAATAATAACACTTCCTTTATATTTTCTGTATGTTACATATTTGTTTTATAAAAAGATATAAAAAATGATACTTTAAAGACAGAAGAATTGTGTATCTTACAAGTGTTAATTATAACACATATTATTTTTATTACAAATACATTGTGTTTATCTTAATAGTAAATTAATTTATTAAAAATTAATATAATAGTGAATGATCAACGAGAATCTGTCATATTAGTTCCAACTTGATTAAATAATTTGTCTTTAATAACTTGAGCCATTAAACCGTGTATAACTTCAATGGTAGTTTTCGAACTGTCGCGTGTTGCTTTAATAAGTTTTTCCACGGTACTACGATCGTGTGGATCTGTTCCACCTAAAACAAATCCTCTTCCAAGCGCAACTTCCGATTGCTCCAATTTATCAGACAAATCAAATATTTGTCCTGTCGTATAATCCGCATTAGTCAATAAACTAGAAGAGCTAAGAGTATTCACCCAATACTTGTTCCATAAGGAGTCCAACAAACGCTTATCTAATAACGATTTAAAGTATGATACTTCTAAAGAATAATATTGTTTACAATGTACCCCGAAATCTTCAATTTTATTTAGAGGTATTGTTTGATATTCTGATGGTTCCTCGTTAGCTGGTTTATATCCCTATAGATAAAGAATAATCATAATATAAAATACATTATTGTTTATAACTTCATATAAATTATGTTACATACCTTTGGATAAGTTCTAAATGCTCCTAAGCAAACTTTACCAGCAGAAATAGTTCGCACGGGATCAATTACGATAGCAACAAATGGTTCTTGAAAATTTTGATTAAGCATTTGAGTAGAGACATCGATACCTGATAACCAGCATCCATACCCTGGATGACTATGATACCAGCCAATAGCATTCTCTTGTCTGCCAACCTAAGAAGATATTTTAACATGTCAGGCAAGATCTAATCTAAACGATGAAAAAAATATTCTGTTGATTTCACCTGTTTTGCAGCTTCTATATATGCAGTCATATATTCATATGCTTGAGCTTGAGCATTAACCCTTGTTTCTGTTCCTTCAACGGGTAACGCAAAAGAATCCATAACAATCATTGTATTTGCTGTTACTTTTCCAAGTAGAAGACCCATTACCTCTAATGTTCCACCAGAACGCGCATGCATTACCATTTTTAACAACGCCAATGCTGAGATTTTAATGTCTTTGAAAAAATGGGGACTATATTGAGAAAATTCAATATATTAGTACAATTATAAATATAATTTTTTACTCATTACATATTTCTAAAGAATAATATATACTCTAAATTTATAAAAACGATAACATATTTATATTAGACGTACTCTTTGTCCCATGGCTTAGCTGCCAATATATCTTGTTGTTCTTTTCTATCATATCTGTAGATTTCATCGACTGTACTAATTGTTTCAACGTTATTTGACATCTCCCAAGTTTTTTGGGCGATCGTAGTTTGGTCAGTAGACGTACTAGCCATTTTTATTTATTTTCAACAAGCAATAAACTATAACAAATTAAAACAATTAATTATTTTTCACAATTCATTACAAAATCTTTATAGATTTTATATTCAATTAAATCAATCATGTATATTACATTAACTATTAGATTTTTATAATAACTTGATTATATAATTAAAACTGTAAGATTAATACATATGTAAATGTTATTATAATATGTAAGATATATGAGTTTATCTCAATCAAATAATAATAAATAATTATTCTAGAATGTAATTTTTGTTAAATCTAAACCAAATTTACAGAAGTATTTAACATGAATGAACATATGACAAATTTTTAATTAAAAAATATGATTTTTGTATTTCATTAAAAGCTTTTCTTATAAGGTTGCTAATAACAATATATTTAACAATTAGAATATTATTAAATCAAAAATTGCGATTTTTTTATTATAAAAGCTACTATCGATATTTATCTATTGTCTTTGTTTAGAAACATATTTGAATTCCTTGTTTTAGTAATAATAAAGGTTATTGTTAATTTAATAATTATCTTATCAACATTAATCTTACAAATCATCTACGAATCATTACATAGCAATATTATCTAATTATACGTAACTCTTGAAATATAAATAAGATTCATTCTCTCTCTCCAGAGTACTAAAGATAAATCTAAAAGTTAATTATTGTAATAGTTACTGATAACTTAGGTTAAAGGTACGAAAAATCATAAAATAACATGCCACTAACATCAATGACAATTCTAAAGTAGTAGTAGAGATAATATGTCACGTATTCTCTCATGAGGGATCTCTCCCGGCAATGTTGTTGCGAATAATGACAGCAATCGTGGTATAACAATACGCCCAAATACTGAATGCTAATTGGTCAATTTTATCTCCCACCACTTAACATTCTCAAGCGCCATCTTGTTTATCTTTTTCTCATATATATATTTATCATATATTCTATGTGTTGTGTATTTAATAATAATATTAATAGATTTTTATATGTATATATATATATATAACCCATATATATATAATTATATATGGGTTTCATATATTAAAATAAAAAAATATGTAAACCGTAAAATAAAT